AGTTCCTAGAGTATTAAGGTGTTTTCTTGCTACAGTCAAGTACCATCAAGGACTGGAAAGCACAAAAAGTCAAACAATTTGGTCATATGGATGCTGAGAAAAGGGGAAACACAGTACAATCATTTTAGCAGCATTAACAATCTCATTCTTTGTATTACAGCTATGTCGCCAGTATATTATCGATACGTTCACACTCTGCCATTGTGTATCTCACTGCATTTCCATACAAAACCAATTCTTTGCCACCAAAAGCAGGGCTCATAAAAAAAAGAGACACATGAAATCTGAAAACTGCTTACTGTCATCTGACTTAAACCTCATTTCAAAAAGGCAGAGGAGAAGGCAACTGAGCCTTCACAAAAGGCAAGCAGGTGGCCAGCAAAGTTCATACATACTGTTCCAACTTAAAAGAGCTGGATTGATTTTGCTCTTTATGGACTTCTCAGGTAACATGGTCAAGCCACTGGGATCTCATGTTTTTTGTGCATAAGACCTGCTTCTAATCTAATATTTTTCCTTTCTTCTAGTTTTTTTTATGGCAGATCACAAATGTTTAAAGGCAGTGACCTCCACCCATCCTTCAGACTCCTTCCTCTCATCTTCCACGTGCATTCTATGAAGGTTTTGTCTCAGCTGAAGGCATTCTGGGTATGTTGTATACAGTGCAAGTGTAATGTTATTTTAATGAACGCTTGTACAGTACTCGTCCTTTAGTTACATTACATAAAAAAACAGGTGCATTGGACATGGGCAATAGGAAAATAAGTTTATTTCAGAAACCTAATTGCTATGCTGATGACTAGAATATCAATACTGGCAGGATTTGCTGAGCTTTTTGAGTGGGATCATTTTTGCAATGATGAAATACTGGAAACACAGATTCCAGGTATTCTTTCATTGCAATTTGCTGGATTTTTTTACTTATTCCCAAAATGTGGGTCTCATTTACTTAGGTCAGAGACAGCCAAATTTGCAGATAGCTGCAGAGACCCTAGTGAGAAGGCTTTCTTCTTTGCTGCTAACGGTCACAGTTCATTGTTAGCCCAACTCTGTGCTTTGACCATTTTCTATTTGTGTCCCTCACGTTCTGTTTGAAATACCTTAAAACCTACAGACACTCCACCACACGCGGTCGATCTCATTCAGACAGACTCATGTGCCAATACTAAGCAATGCAAAATATTTCCTGACAAACACAGTATTGTTCTACCATGTCTTGTACCTGAATCAAGCAAAGTCAGTGGAAGACTCTGCTTGGCTCAGATGTGCAGAGCCTAATGTTTAAAGGTAATCAGGCACCTAAGGGAGCAGGAAGCACCTTATGGATTTCCCAGGCAGTATGGGAAACTTTTGCCATAAAGTATGACCCAAGTTCCAGGTGATTCACTAACATTTCCTTTAGTGATGTTGCAACTGGCAGGATGGGTTACATTCCTGCTTAACCCTTGGTGTTAGACAATATTGCAGCAAGTATTAACACAAATGACAAGGATCTATGGCCATGTAGTCACCTTCTGAATTAATACCTTTAATTTAACAGTGTCCAGCTAAATTAGCAGAACCAGATTTACAGAAAAACAAGGCTGGGTGTTGCATCCAATAGTTGTCTTACAGTTCAAGGCCAGTTTGAACAACAGGCGGCTTCCATTTTTGCAGATGTTGAAGGCTGAGCCAATGCAGCATGCACCCTTTCACAGACACAGTATCAACTATCATCCAAGACTAAAGCTTATTCACTCACTATTAACAATGGATTAGATTACCAGGAGTGTTGAGCAGTGCTCTATTCAACTGTATTCTCCACTATTCTTGCTATAAATTTGCTTCCAAAATAACTGTTTTACGCATCTGTTGCAAATGGGAAATGATATTTCAGTTTAACAAAAGCTATTTGTTATGATGCACAACCATTATTAATGGATTACACTTTTAATCCACTTTGTCACACAAATAGAAAATCTACAGCTTGATAGGATTAAAGATTTACCAAAGATTTTTTACTATTATTATTATTAGCGCTTTTCAAACAGATATTTTCTACAGATTTGTTATTTTTGTACTAGTAAATGTTTTAACTTTTCCAAAATAAATGTTTAATTTGGACTTTAAAGCCAGGCAGTTGCTGCTTTCCGAAAAGATCAGTGACTCACTCGCACTCCCATTAACTTCAATGGGAAGAGGAGTACGGGCTGAGAAAATAATCTGCAGAAAACCAAATCTGTATCCTGTCAACCCAACAGACATTAAAGGAATTAATTACAAATCTCAGAAGTGAGGACAGTTGAAATGACATAGCATATAAAGATATCTTTAATTATTATCTTGACAATTTCCAATCACATTTAAATTCCTCTACAGTTATCAAAACATTTGAGTAATCTGAGCTTGAGATGCTTTCTGTTTACTCAGAATTTAAAGAGCTCCTTTCAAGTGAAAGGTAGAAACAGCTCTGAAGGGAAATGACAAAGGAGTGAGGGAAGCCCTAAACAAATCACACTTCTGATTTAAGTCTTATGTCCTTCGTGTAATCTCCCGCATTTCTCATATTTCTTACAGACTTTACACAATGCATTCAGTGCTGACACGAGAGCAAATTAGTCATCAGGTATTTTTTTCTGAATATTATCTTTAGCATAAATTGTAAAATGTCTCTGTTTCTTTTGCCTGCTTGGAATGTTCTACACCTTGTCTTTTAGTCTCTGCACCATGCCATTGGAAATTGCTTGCAATATGCACAAAGACTTCCTCATCCCTACTCCCACCGATGGAAAACATATACTATTCATTATTTTGATGCAAATGAGGCAGTAGTTAATCATTTGTCTTAAAAACAGGGTGCTTGAGCATTATTTAATTCCATAAACCAGCAAGCCATGTATTTGTATTTATACAAATTGGTCTTGCTGTTGCCATGCTTAAAACAAAACAGTTGCTAAATGCACAGTGAATTCTGGCCTGTAAGTCCTTTCCTGTTCTATGTTATTTTGCATTCAGATAATTCTTAGACTTTGACCCTTCTGTCTTTTTTCCCAGCCACAATCTACTACTAGCCTTGACAGGCTTGCTCACGTAAGTAAAGGCCCTCAACTTGTAATGGAGCCCAAGCTTTTGCAAAACCAGCATGTAGTATTAAAAGCACAAGAAGTGTAAAACACAGTAGGAATACGACTGTGAACTGGATTAGGTGGTCACCTCAACGCAGTTCTGAAGAACGCCCTCTCTCAAGATTTTGAGGGGGCTCTACAGCAACGAAAATAGTAAATACCCCTACTGATGAGTACTCTACTGCTTTTAGACATGCAAGAAAAAAACACTGGATGGGAAATACAAATCAGCTTCCATAGGAAGCCAGAAAAGATTAATGCTCTTAAAAGTAGTATCTTTTTTGAATCTGCTTGTTAATACGCCCATAGAGAGAAATCTGCTGAGAAAACACAGGATGACAGAGCTCTGCTGGCCAGTCAGCCTAGAAAGTAAAGTAGTATGAAAATGGATTGCATGGCATGCTTTACATAGTAAGAAAGCTAATAATAAAAATAATGATGTGGGAGTACAGAAGGATGTTTTGAACTGAAGGTGACGCTTTAGATTTAAGGTTCTAAAACCGAAATATCCTCACCCCACTTTACAGAAAACAGGCACTATACGTGAGGATAAATACACAGGCTGTGTTATTCTAAACCTAGCCTGCACTACGGTAATGTTTAAGTATTCTTAGTTGCTAGCCATCATGTAATGGTTTTTCCTTTTTTGAGAATAGCAAATGTATTTGCAGAACAGACAAGTTTGTCTTTGATTTCCAGGAGTTTTGGGGAAGTTCCCGTCTGAGAGTTCACATCACATGGTGAAGTGAGACAAACCACTTGACACTGCAGATTTCCCGACTAGAAAATTCCTCTGGAGAGACCGCATGATGTGCACTGTTCGTATTTTCAGACTGTGCTCATCAGGCTTACTTCACATGACAGCGTGGGCTACACGTGGATCACGCTGTACTGTTAGCTGAGCAACTTGCTGTGTGAGTTCAGGGCGCTTCTTTCCCTCCCTGTGAATCGGCATTGCTTACTCAGACCAAAACAAGAATAAAGTAGTGCGCGTGAGAACACTTTCTGGATTACATTACTTGGAAGGGGAACCTGCCTGACCTTTAGGGCAGCCAACTTCCAGAGGTGACAAATGAGCCCCCCTTTGCTCTTCAGTGCGTTTCTTTGTGCGACAAAGTGTAGTGAGCTCCTTCCCTTCACCCAATCATCTGCTCCATCAGTTAAACCAGGTGAAACTAATTATTATTATCATTGGCTCTGTTTTTTCCATCGCGGCTCGGGTGAGGGATAACACGGGAGGGACCCCTCGCGTTTCTAAACGCGCAGCAGAACGCGCGTTGTAACTATTACTATGTTTAGCTTTAGGTTTGAAATCCTGGCGTCCTACGCGCACCCTGCGAACAGCTCCCGGACAGAAGCCCACGCAGCGAGCAGCTCCCACGAGGGGCAGTGAACGAGTGCTGGGGAAAGGGGGCGGGCTTGCCCAGCGGGCCCCGGGGCACCGCCTCATCCCCCGCCCGGACAGGACCTGCGGCCCCCGCAGCAAGGCCGGCGGCGAGGCGGCCACCGCGGCTGCCCGCGGACCTTCCCCCCGCCCCGGGCCTTCCCCGCGGCTCTCCTTTCCCCGCCCCGCTCGGTCGTGCGGCTGGACGGCAGGGGCGGGGGCACGGGGGGCCGGGCCAGCTCCGCCGCCCGGCTCCGCCTCTCCCTCCGCAGCTCCCAGTCCTGGAGCGCCGCTCGGCTGCCAGAGGGACGCCGCCACCTGCTCCGGTGCGGAGTCGCTCGCTCCTCGCTGCGCGCCGAGAGGGCGAGCAGCCGCCCCGCCGCCCGCACCCGGGAAGTTACAGCTGCTCCCGCCGCCCGGGGAAAGCCGCCGCCGCCTCCCGGCCTCGGAGGACGAGAAGTCCCCGCCCCGCTCCGAGAGGCAAGAGGCTCCCGCGGGCGAGCCGCCCCCCCTCCGCCGCTGCCTCCCGGTCCCGCCGCGGGCAGGCGGGATGATGGAGCCCCCCGCCTGCGCCTCCTGCCACGGCCGCCCGCTGCCGCCGCCGCTGCTCTGCCTCCTGCTCGCAGCCCTCTGCCTGCCGCCAGGTGAGCGCCCGTCCGCGGGAGGGGGCGGCCGCGACCGCGCCGTCCCGGCCGCGCGTAACTTGGCGGAGGGGAGGCTGGGGCCGCAGGTGTTGGTGCGCGCCCGCGGCTCGCTGCTGCCGGCGGGGCCGCTCGTCCCACGCCCGCCCTTCCTTCGCCGGAGCGCCCCGACTCCTGCTTCGGGGTCTCCGCGCGGCCGTGCTCGGGGGTCCGTCGCGGCTGCTGGTGCCCTCGGTTTCCCGGGGAGCGGGCTGGGGCTGCTCTCCTCTGCCGCCGCTGCCGGCCCCTGGGGAGTGCGGCTGAGGGTGGCTGGCGGGGCGGGCTTGTGCCGCCGCTCCGGAGGGCAAGGGGGGGAGCTGCCCCCGTGGTGAGGGGAGGCTGCGGGAGGGCTCTCGCCTTGCCCTGTGGGCAGCGCGGCGGGGTCCCGGCGGGGCGTTGCCAGCGGCCGCCGTGCAGCGGGCGAGCAGGGGCTGCCCCCGCGGCGGGGAGAGCCGTGGCTCGTTGCGGCGCCCGTTTCACTTTCGGCGTGAGCCGCGCGTCTCCGCAGCGAGCCGCCAGCAACTTCGGCCCTTCGGCGGCGGCTCCCCTCCGCGCCTGGGTACCGCCGCGCGGCTCGCGGCGCCGACGGTTGCCCGCTGCTGGGAGGCCAGCGCTGGCCGGAGGCCCCGGGTGATGCCGCCGGGAGCGGCCCCGCCGCCGGGTCCCCTCGTCCTCCCTGCTCCGTGTGCGGGCAGCGCTGCGCGGGGTCCTCCCTGCTCCGGCGGTTCGGGCTCGCGTCTGTGACTTCCCTGTGCCCCCCCGTGCAGTAAACGTACCCTTGGGGCGTTAGGGAAGTGGGGAAGCGCAGGTAGCGCTGAATACAATGCCCTGATTGTCTTGGGGCTGTTTTGGCCGTGAGGTGTTCGTAGGCTTTATTTTGTAAATATTTAGAGTGAAAGCGGAGTCTGAGGGAGAAGCTGTGAAGTGCGGAGTTCTGCATTCAGCGCCGGGAACGGCTCATTATTCTTGTAGAAAGAGCGTCAGCCTGTGGTAACATTTTGTACTGCTTTAAGAAACGGCTTTGCCTTTACGTGCCTGCCTTTGCAACCGGGAAGGGTTTGCAGAAGTGTTGGAGTTGGTGCGTTTTCACTCATGGCCTCTGCCTCATTCTTACGGGCTCTCCGCTTAACGTTTACACGCAGCATGTCCTCATTGGCACCGAAGATAGCTGCGGACCTTTTTCACTAGATGTATTTATGGTCATTTTGTGCAAGCTCTGGTTAAGTAGAAACTAGCTACAGCAATAAAGTAAGGCTGCTGAAGCTTTTATTTCAGTTAGACAACTGAGAAAGCTCCAAACAGAAGGAAAAGCAATATTGGAACCGTGAGCGTTCTGCCAGGCTGTTCTGCTAGGCTTTTGCTTTGGTAAATACAATCACTGTAGGACATAAAAAATACCTGACTGGGTGGCAGAGCTTACAGACAATACTGTAGGAAAAGTCTTCAGGAAAGGTAGTTCATTTTATGAAGTCTTAAAGCCATGTGAAACATCAAGAGAGATGAGCACCTCAGCTTCTGTGGAGCAGGAGTTGGCTCCTGTGGAGAGATTTATCTCAGTAAATGTGAATTTATCTCGCTGATTGTGCTACTGCCTACGTTTTCACATTGAGGGGACTTGAAACCATAAAATATTAAACCTGAAGGGTTGTGTTGATGGAGGTATGTAAAAAGGTGGGACTTGACCAAATATGGTGTAACTAGATTGGAGGTAAAACCATTTACCTAGCTCTTTCTGCTCTTTGTTTTTTGTCCTCTCAAGGAGAAGCTCAGGCTGTATAGGCAAAAACGTATGGGGAGAAACCAGCCCCACCTCAGCTTAGAAACTTTCCCTGTACTACTGGAAATGCCTGGAAAGCCTGATACAACATTTAAGCCTGTAGTTCTCTGTTTCTTCTGGGGAATACAGAGGATACTTAAATATAAAAATATATATAAAAATTTTACCACAGACTTCACATTTCTTTCTGCTTGATATTTCTGCTGGTTTGGATAGCTAATTTGCTGTTATGTACAACAAATTCAGGATATATTACTTGAGGTGCTTGGCTTTGGGAGTTTCCTTTCAGGCTTGCATATAGAAAGCAATAGATAAGGTATTAAGAGCATATTAAAAGCTGATGTGCATCAGGTGTAGGTATCTCCAGCAGTATTCAAGCAGACTGGTGATCACCAAGAGAAATTTGGAGTTTCTTCACAGAATAACCTGGCTAGGAAGATACCCATTTTAAAAAAGAGGGGAGTCCAGGTCTGCATTTGGTACTAAGAGACTAAATTGGGCTAAATGAGAACACCAATTAAAATCTCATACTGATCTAGAGGAAATATTCTCTATGTGAAAAGAAAGTCGACTCTTAATCAGGAACTGGTCATGGTCTTTGTAACTTCCCCCTTCCCCCTAATTCTGGTGCATTATAACTGTGAAGCTCAGAGTCTCTCCTGCTATGTTTTATTACATAATTTATTTCTAAAGACTTGTTACATATCGCTATATTGCGTAAGGGTGGGGAGGCTGTAATGTGTAGTCTTCTTACCCCCCTGAGGCTGCGTTCTCACTCTGCCCTGCGTTTTTTGGTGGTTTTATTTTGCTGGTATATATGGTGTGACACTGATCTAGGAAAGCTGGTTTTCTGTGTTAAGGTCTGAAGTTTACATGTGTTTTCTGAAACTGAAGTCAGGAAACAGCTGAACCATGTACCTATGTTTCAGTATGTGTGTCTGTGGCCCAATACCTAGGTAGCAGAGGCAGACTAATTTTTAAGTGGGTTATAGGTTGTCCGATCAGTTGCTTTGAGAAGTGCTCAATATGTTTAAAAACAATTTTGTTTGCTTTTTCTTTTGGTGTGAATGTGCTGGAAAAGTCTCTCAACATAAATTGGTTTTCTTGTACTCTGCTGGCTTTCTAGCACTTCTCATAAGGCAGAGGGCAACAACAGAAATCATTCAGTCTCTGAAGTTTCAGCCCATTGTTTTTTACTGCAGAAAATATGTGTTATGTTCATTAAATATCTTGGTCATAAGTCATATTTAATTCTAAAATCTCTTATTCCCACTTTGCAACCCAGGTCAGAGTAACACCCTTCCTTACAGTACCATCCATTCTCCTTCCTGAAAGTAATCGACGATGCTAATGTGTAAATCCCAGGGTAAATAGTTTCAGCTGTCCTTGTAGTGGAAGTTAACCTATTTGGCTTATTTCTGGCCAAAAGTTTCTGGGAACAGAATCTCTCTGGATATTTATGCAAGATGACCCATAAAGGGGAGAAGAAAGAAAATAGCATTAAGTGTTTTACATAATCCAGATTACATCTGTGTGTGATCAGGATGAAACTATCTTCTCTATTTTTACAGGTCTCTTACTTCTCCAGTGTGGTTTGTGGTGCTAAGCTGTAAGTGCTCACTGCAGATACCCATAATGTCATATGTGATTACATATGATGCAGAAGGACCTCATATAAAAGCAAGCAGTGTGTTGGCTGGTCATACCACATCCCATCACTGCAGGCTTTCTGTAGAAAGGTAGCCCTTTCTGTAGGGCTACCACAGGGACTTCCCAAAGAGTATTTTTTGACAAAGTGGTTTTGGACTGGTTGAGTGACGCAAAAGCAGATTGCTGAATAGGAAACCAGCTGTGGAGGAGCCAGGCCTATCTGTACGTAATGTGAGCCTAGTAATGCTTGAGACAGTGAATGGACTTCGTAGGAGCTGTAATTTGTAATTGTGTCTAGATGATCAATGTTCAGTTTCCCCTTTATGTGACCTGCACTACATGACCATAAACATGATGGTCACAGTAAGTTGACTCAAGGTCTGGTCTGCAATGCTTGTTCCGCTGTGGTTTCGCACATTTTCATGTATTTCTTCTTGTGTTACCATGCTGATTGCGGAAACTGGTTTGGTTGGTTGGTTTGTTTTTTGTTTTCACATGACTAATAGTATAGCTTTCTGCAAGCTGATACAGGGCTAGAGTTTTGAGGGAGATTGCTGGATGTAAACTGCATAGTCTTCAGGCTCTCTATTCAGTGCTCCTCAAGGTTCCTCTGGGTTGGCTAGGGTATACCTTTTTCCTCCAGTAACACAGTCATCTTTTCATTGGAAAATGCATGTAAAAGAATTGAGGACCTGTTGCAATGTGCTGATTTCTCTTGAGTTCCTCTGCTTTCAAGAAAAACAGTTACGCTTCCATGCACTGATGCTCAAATGAGACTCTTCAAGAACTGTAAATGCTGTAGGGTGATAATTAGAATTGACTCGAGCAGAACGTGATTTTTCCAGGAAAAATCTGAACATTAACAACTCCCCTTGATTTGCAATTGCTGAGCATTATCTTCCCTGAAGACAAGGTTTTGACCTACACGTTCTGTATCTTTTCTTTAATAAGAACAGGATGAATATCAAAGGAGGCTGTGCATTCCTGTCTTCAGTATGCTTGAAAATGAATCTCTTCTTTTAAAGAGAAGATTATGGTACAACTGATGTACTGACAATCAGTTACTGACAGTGATCAGATCAAGTTTTTTCCTTTTTTCTTTCCCAGTTTTGTTTTGCCTTTCTTCTTCCCATTGTGTTTTATTGAGGATGGCTTGGATCATAGTTGCTCCTACACCAGTGGATATTAGTTGGCTCCTCCAAAGTGGTGGCTGGCTCTTTTGAGGGATATCTGCCTAGTTTAAGATGAAATTGCCTTTTTTCTCATCCATGTAGGTCTCCAGAAAGGCAAATAAATATTTACTTACTAAAACAACTGCTGAAATAGTTACTTACTAAAACAACTGCTGAAATATTTACTTACTAAAACAACTGCTGTTTCTATTGAAGTGGTACTCTTGTTGTTGATAAGAAATATGCCTCTTCTGGGAGGTAAAAACAGAGAGAAAGTGATAAAACAGTGGGGAGAGTGGGAGAGAATGCCTGCAGCTTTAGGGTATGATTTTTAGAGGTTATCAGGGGTTAGAACAGTTCTGTAA